TATTCCTAAAATCACAACCTACCTGAAAGGGAAGGGAATGTTTTTCGAACTTACCCAATACGCCAAAGCCGATATGAATTTGATTGATTGAACCAGGGATTGAAGGATGCCTTTTAGTTTCAGGCAAGGCGAGCAGCAACGGATCTGGGGCAGGGAGAACGGTTGAACACTAGAACAAACTCAACAAAGAAGGGAATGGGAATCTTGGTCAAGGGAGAACGGTCGAACACTCGAACTCAGCGAAACACTCAACTCAACGGTGCTACAAGGGAGAACGATCAAACACTCGACGGCACTACAAGGGAGAACGGTCAAACCCTCAAACTCAACAACGCTACAAGGGAGAACTAGAAAACTCAACGGCGCTACAAGGGAGAACGGTCGAACACTCGATGGCGCACTCAAACTCAAGGAAATGAAGATGGGAATAGGGGAATCTGGTCTGGGGTCTGGCCAAGAGGAGGGAGGGACCGAGGGAATTGATCGAACGCTGTCATTCGATTTTTTTAAGCATTAGACGACGTCATTTTGGGTTTAGGGAGTGGAAAAATATTAAACCGGTCAACTCCCCAAACCGGCGGTTGATTGGTTTAATACCAGCTTGATTGGTTACTTCCCGGTTCAACAGGTAACCGGTTTTCTGGTTAAACCAGACTGGATTTTGGATCAGTTTACCGGTTTTCCAATCTAACCGGCTGGTCTGATCCCCTTTTTTTCCCCCTTACTTTTAGGAGGAAGGAGGCTTCAATATAATTGCCTGGAAACTCCTTATTGGAAGTTCTCACCTTCTGGATGGATCTGCAACTTTTGGAATATGCTATCTTAACTCCTCTTCATTATAGCAACAACACTTGAACCAAGAAAATGAATCATCGTCGGGTCCCAAACTTTTACTTTTATTTGCCCCACAAACATAAACTCTTCCCTTTTTCCCCCTCTCTGATTTCTAAAGGCTAGTTATAAATCAATATATTATAAGCGAATTGTAGATCCCTGATCAAATCGTCATTGTAAATGATCCTTTTGCTTATTAATGCATAACACTTCTAATTCTCAAAAGGCTATGGCCAGCTAGTTGTGAATATGCTATATAAGGGAGTTAAAAATACGAAAGGACTAGTTATAACTAAATGCTTGTTTTGAATATGCACACTTGTTACAATCCAAGTTTTAGTCCGTACTACGCCTGTGTCATGCGAGCTGCGCCTTTCCATTATTAATTATCATTATTCTTCACTTTATTATTTGGCTCCCTCACTTGTATTGTGCAGAAGTTGGAGAGCGTTGGAAGTACGTGTTTTCATCGTGGCTTTCGCTCATCATATGATATGTTGATTAAGAAATTGTTTCTTGTTCTTTACTCATTTGAAGAAATTCTCTTGTATTAATTTTGGGCTAAACTTGTATAGCTTGAGATATATTTGCCTATTTTCAACTTTGTCTCAAAAAAAATCTCTTTGAAATTTTCTGCCAATTTCTATGACTGAAAAAAAAAATGGAAATATTTTCTTTTTCAAGAGGAAAAAAAAAGAAATTGTTTTCGCAATGATTTAATGATTTTATGCCGTGAGAGGTTTTCAAAACCTCCTTAGACGAAATTGATTAATCTTTCATGTGAAATTATTAAAATATCCTCAAGAACTTAATCTAAATGTTTTATAAAAAATAAAATGTGAGATTATTAAAATCTCCTCATAAAGTTTAATTCAAAAGTTTTTCAAAAACTTTCTTTTTTTCAAATAAAGGTAAAAAGATCGTTTTCTTAAATAAAAAATATCAACCAACAAAAATATTTTTTAATAAATTAAACAAATGCTTTTCCAGAAAACACCAACTCAGTGACATGCATTTTTATCTCCAAACTACATGGGTTTTAATCCCTCTAAAAAGGTATGTATGCCTTAAGTTTTTATTCTAAGTCAAATCCAGCTACATAAATAAATTATTTTCCTTTTATTTTTCTTCTTTTTGTTAAAAATATGTTTTCTTTTTGTTTATTTTTATTTCTTTTTTAGGGTCATTAAAATATAATAAAAAGCTGTGTTAGTTTTGAATGAGTGATGTCGGTGCCTAACATCTTTCCGTGTACAATCGACTTCTAGACTCTATTCTGTTTTTGTAGGCCGTCTTTTATAAAGAGGTTTCAAAATTTAACCTCTGAAATTTTTGGTGGTGTCTCTTCGATGCTACTTATTACTAAACAAGTCTGACTAGTTAAGGAGAAAGTCTAAACTTACCTCTTTCCATGCCTAATTATCATACAAGTTCATTGCATGGTTTTATCTGAAAAAGGATCGAACTTGACCATCAAAAGGTGTTTCTTTTGACCAAGCCAACGCAAAGAAAGGTGTTGGAATTTTTGGGGGAAAACCTAGTACTAGTTTTCATAATATATGCAGGTGCATGGCCAAAGTATAACGAAATCGATTGCTTGGACTGAAACACACATTCCAGGAAGTCCCTATTGCAAGTCAGCCCTCTTCTGGTTCAGTTATGGCTGCCCAACACCCATCTCCAAAGTCCATAATATATTCGCCAAATTAAATACCTCAATTAATTTTTGACTGGTAACATTTTTTTCAAATGTTACTCCCTCCGCTTTTTTAAACAAGATACAAATAACGAAGACCTTATTTTTTTTCTCCTTCTGAATTTTTTTTTGGTTTTTAAGAAAACCAAAAAACAAATAATTTGTTTGATAATTTGTTTTTAATTAAGTGTTTTAAAAAACAGAAATTTATTTTTAAAAACTAAAAAAAAACCAAAACAATTTTTATTTTTTTGTTTTTGTTTTTGCATTTTTTTATTTTTTATTTGGGAAAATAGGGAAACCTTTTCTTGTATATTTGATGACTTTTTCTCCATTTAAAGACTTGAGTTCATATCGAAGCTTCATCCTCGGTCTTGATATGTTTTTTTTCAAATATAATTGTTTAGAACAATTTTTTGTTTCCAAAACATGTTTTGGAAAACAATTTTTTGAGAACGAAAAAATATAAAACAGAAAAACAGGCCCTAAGATGTTACTTCCGATCCTAAATATAAGATCTAGATTTAAGTATAAATTATTATACTTAAATCTAGATCTTATATTTAGGTCCGGAGATAGTACATAAATAAAAAAAAATTGGTTAAAAATAATAAATATATATCTATAAAAATAATTTATTTTTCAAAAACACTCTTATTTATGCAAAAAGGTGAGTTGGAGAGAGAATGAGTGAAAAAAGAGATGGGAGAGACATGTAATTAATTGAAAGTATTTTTTTAAAAAAAAATGCATTGCCATGTATCATTTATATATTGTTGGCGTTGCAGGTTTAACATTGTAATTACGAGGTGAACTATAATTAGATGATTTGGGAATAACTAGCTTACTCAGTCCGCATTCTTCGTATTTTTAAGTGGCAGGGGATAAACATTATAATGTTATATTGAAACTAGAAAATGGATTTTAGAACTAGATCATGGTCTATGAGTTCAATAAACTATCGATGATAAGTGGATTGATTTGCTTTTGGGACTCACAGAAGTTTAACTACTAATCTCATGTATAGTCTCATTAGGATACATGTTTTTCATCAAGTCTGAAATCAGCTCTTCTATGGATCAGATTAGTTAATTAGGAAAGCTCTCTAACTATAGGTGATTATGACTCAATATATTACTTGTAAATATATTCAGCTATAACGACATGCTATAAGCTTTGCATTAAGAACAAGATGATTAGTGTCATATAAAATGAAGAGGACAATCGTTCATGATCTCAAATTTTTAGCTCGATCTCCGATTCTAACATGGCAACTTTTTTTTTTTTTCATGCTTTAATTTTTTTTTGGGATAGACATTTTTTTAATTTAGTTCAATTAGTTTTTTCTATAAGGAGAGTTTGAAATCTTCATCAGTATACAAATTTCGTCTTAGATAAAAGTTATTCCTCTATGTACGCGACAATTAAGTTTAACTTCTAATCCTGTGTTCTGTTAGCAAAGGAGGGGGGAAAAAACTTTGAGTGCGTGTGCGTGTGTTCTGAGCAAAATCCTCTTTAGCATGTCCAGATTCAGATTACGATACGACACACAATTTTAGTACTCATCACTTAATGTAGCGATAAATTCACGTGACAATGATATTCTACTAACTTATTATACATAAATATGGACGTATGATCAAAAGCGCTCGATTTTTTCATACATACAGATAGCTTCACAAACTTGAACAGTCACAAGCATAAACGACGTGTTCGTGCAAAGGAGATTTGGGAGGGCTTAACTAGGTCACTGAAGGTATCACCCAGTCCAATATTAAACCAACCAACAGCAAGTACAGAGACACTCCATAGATGGCCCCAGAGAAATATCATGGAAGAACAGAGGATAAAGGAGGTACCTTAGCTTGGTGTATTTTTGTTCAGAGTTGCTTGCTGGTCCTTGTGGAAACAGGGAAATGCAAGAGTTCTAAAGACTGAATATCCTGATACAAGCGCGAGTAGCGAAGGGGGACGCGGGGCTGGTTCAAGATTTAACTCGGATTGGCAGGGTGAAAGTGGAAGGAATGAAAAGGATTTGCATGCCATATATACTTTTAAATACATTAATTATTACTCTCATAAATGTAATTGGGAGGGAAATATATATATATATATATATAGAGAGAGAGAGAGAGAGAAGAATAAGGAGGAGGAGGAGGAGGAGGAGTCATGAACACATATGCATTCTATCACAGGCAATAAAACCAACATATTAACCTCTCCACCATAACCAGTTTCCGGGCACAAGAGTGACCTATACTCTCTACAAGTGTGTTTTGATTGAAGAGAACGGAGAAGAAAGAAATGTGATTTAGATATAAATAAGAGATACGTCTAATTAAATCAAGCATTCCTTCTCAATTCTTCCTCTCTCTGCAATTAAATTCCCATATCTTAAACTTCACGATGTAACGTCTTGGTATGAGGCGCCATCAAAAGAAAACTAAGGCGAAGAACTACCATTATTTGCTTACATATCCTTTTTAGGATCTTCTGGAAATTCTTGCATCACTTGGTACAAAAACTCAGCATTATTGACGAGGAACGAGGAATAATATTCATCCAAGTCTGCTTCATTTGCTGCAAAGTTCAGACTATAATAGTTATCCAGGTCGTATATATTTTCTGGGACAAATGGTGGGGTCCAGGTATCACCGAATTCTTCAATTATTTCCGATGCAGCGCTAGCAACGCTTGATCCTCCGAAGGAAAAGGTTGCAGATGAATTCCAGAGGGGTGGAGAGCTTTCTGGGATATTACTGGAGGAAGCAGCAGCAAAACTAAGCAGAGGATTTTCAGGTTCGAAAGACTTCGTTGTTTCTCTTTTACAAGTACCGCTGGCCTTCGTTTTGAACTCGGATTTTTCCTCATGAGTGCACTCCACTTTCCTCCTTAGGTAGCTATGCCAGTGGTTCTTGATCCCGTTGTCACTTCTCCCTGGAAATCTTTTGGCAATCAAAGACCATCTGCGATGACAAATGTTATATATGTTAGATATATATTGGGCATGCATATGAAACCATCTTCCGTTTTACTTGATGTTTAAAGCACTGGAGCTTGAAGTCAATTGATTCTTTCATATATAATTAAAGACTTTTTTTTGCCTTGGTAACCCTTTTCATCCCAATGATCGAATCATAAAATCGGGAATTTTAAGGAGACAAATTAAAACTCGATCATCCAACTTAAATTTTAGGTAGCTATGCCAATGGTTGACACTTTTCCCAAGTTTTCCTAGCCATGTTCACGGAACTGAAAGAGTCATAAAGATACATACTAACAGACTAATGAAACTTCTCGAATATTATGGGATCTAGCTATATAGCAAGCGTCGAAGTTCATGCTTATGTAACAATAACAAAGAGATTCATATAAGATCCACTTTGTAGGTCAGTTTTTTCATTAAATAAAGTGGATCTTATATTAAGCTCTGGAGGTAGTATGTGATAAGGAAAAAATCTTGATGGATTAAAAACCCGTATAAATCCGGGAGAGCATATATGTCAGAGGTAACATATGCTTACTTATTTCCAAGTTGTTCATGTAATTTGATGATCAGTTCGTCTTCTTCTTGGGTGTAACTTCCACGCTTTACGCCCGGGCGAAGGTAATTTAGCCAGCGAAGTCGGCAACTCTTTCCACACCTTGATAAACCTGTATGTAATTGCGGCTGAAACTCCATCAAGATCCACATCCAAACTTGTATTTCTTTCATTAGAGACTGAAGTTAATAAGGTTGAAACAAACAAGTTCGTTTTGGTTAACAAGTTTAAGAGTGTGTGTGTGTGGGTGTGTTTGTATACTTACCAGCGTGTTTGGGGAGTTGACGCCAATTACTATGGCCATGTCTCTCGACATATGCTCTTAACCTTTCATCTTCTTTCTTACTCCACGCACCTCTCTTTATTCCATTTTCGTCATAGTAAAGCCTTCTCGTCATCACGTATATCTATATTACCAAGTTTTGGTTCTTTCAGACAAGACTTCAACTAAGCTAAGGGAGCATATACACTTATAGAAGGCAGCAGACACACACACACACACACATATATATAGCAACCTCGGCTCCACCGAATAATACTGAAGCCCTAGCTTGCAGTAAGATTAGACCACATGGAGAAGGAAATATGCGTATGTTTCCTAGTTCATGTAAAATTCTACTAACTGATAAAATAATTAAATATGGGTGTATACTTTTGAACCGAGAAGAAACACTTCACCTTTACTTTTGGTGGTTTATTTTATGTTGGCCATTAGGAGTCCAAAGTGTTGTGAGAAATGAATCAGGATCGTCACTTGCGAAGCAAAGTTTCCAGTCATTCGGAAAAGAAATCGAAACCGTAGGTTCGGTCCATGTCTTTAATTAAAAAAAAAACCCGCCGACTTATCAGTGGTGCAAATTACTTTTTGACTTCGGGGACGCTAATCAAAAACCTTGTCTGCATTCACTTGATTCCCAGGGTGCTTCCTCTGTGCAATTAGGTCTTGTTTGATATGAAATATTAAAAATAAAAGATAGGGATTAGGATTGCAATTGCAATTGAAAAAAATTTTAAAAGTATTTAGTATGAGCAATTATTTATTACATGGGATTAAGCAAATCCACGAAAATAGGATTGGGAAATACCACTTCCTCCAGAGGTATTCCTCAATCCCACATATATGGGTTTGTCTAATCCATGTAACAAGTAATCTCTCATACTATACATTATTTTCTCAATCTCAATCACAGTCCCTGTTTTTTATTTTTAATACTTCGTACCAAACAGTATCTTAGAATATACTTTATATGGACTAGATATTAGGAGGGGCATTCAAATTGCTCGTCCCAATCTCAACTACATCGGGATAGGACAGTCGTATCCTAAAATTTCTTGGGATGGGATAAACGGGGTGTCCCGCCCTAGATATATATATATATATATGTATATATATGTATATATATTAATTTTTAAATTATTTTTATTCTTAGATTTTTAATCTATCTTTAAATATTGGCCTTAATTTTGGATTCGAATAACAATATTTGATTGATTAGGACGTGAATTTTGTAGAACATAAAGATAAAATCACTAATACATTGCGTTCAGTTCTTAAAGAAAAAAATTTGAGATATATATGTATGAAAGTTTCATAAATCGTATTTATACCTAATAAATAAATAATATTTATGTTTGAGTAAAACTACATCTAGTACCCGAATCTTATTAAACAATTCATGTGGTTCACATACATACAAGGGAGTTATTGTTGAAGGCAGTGTTTTAAAAGTCGGACCGGATGTCAAGCCGGTAAAGCTAGCGGGTCATGGTTCAAACGGTTGAATCGGTTGAACCGTCTGGTCGAACCGGTAATATAATAATTAAATTAAAAAATAATATTTTATACATGTATAATAATATTAACATAATTAGTCAAATTTATTAAAAAGTTAACAAGTTCAACCTTGGCTTTATTTTAATCTAATGAGCTGTGGCTATTTTAAAATTTTTATACATTTTTTCAATGAAGGTTTTTGGCTCCATTAACTCATTTAATATTTAAATTTCATTTATTCAGTTTTTTATTTAAAATTAGTGACAAATTTTTTGGGCTGCGACAGGGAAGATTATTTTTTTAACTTGGAAATATTGATTGAAAGTAATAATATGCTAAACACACTACATGTTTAATTTTATATTAATTATCATAATAAATAAAAGATGACAGTGTTAATTACAGTAATTACACTAATATATGTCTAATTTTATGCTAATTATTTTGAATAAAAATAATATAAAATATAGATTTTAAAACAATTAATTACAGTAAATAAAGACCGGAGATGCATGCCTAAGGATAACCTTCAAATTTCAAAATGGGCTTAGCAAGTTTTTTTTCAAAAAAAAAATCCTAGAGACTGAACCAGGTACAGTAATGAGTATTGGAAAACGTGATGCACAACTTTTCATCTTCCCCAATCCTGGCATCTGTGTATCGAACTGATAGGGGAACAGTCTTTTATTATTTCTTTTTACTCTTCCTTTCTTTTCAAGCAAATTCTTCAGATGCGTCAAGGAGTCCCTGCGTCGAGTTCACTGCCTTCCTCTGGGGTCGACGGCAAGAAAAGAAAAACACTCCAAGCTTGCTTCTTTCCTCCTCAGTTTCATCCTTTATCCATGTCATGCGATTGATCTGTATCAGGTAAATGAGAAAAATCAAGAAGCCACTTTTTTCCCCTTTAGATTTTTCTATGTTTCTCTTCTTTCTTTCTTTTTTCTCTTCTCCTTTCTCTTTCTTTTTCCCAGCCGGATGGTTCTCTGAAAACCGCTCCGGGTCGCGGCTTAACTCCGATTCTCGGCTCAACAAGCGGCTCAGAACGGTTTAAAACGATCCAACTCCTCAAGCGGTCTAAGTATAGAAGCCGAGCCGTTGTATTGTCCGGTTGCCGGTCCAACCGGTCCAACCTTCCGGTCCGGTCCGGGTTTGGAAACACTGGTTGAAGGTCATGAGTGATGATCAATTGGACCCAATTCACGTCTTTTTTTTTTTTTCCCCCTAAGTATGGTATCCTTTTATTGGAGGCAATTCTATATAAGTACTATCAAGCACAAAGTTTGTGCAACTCTCCCAACAAGAATTTGAACCTTAGTTCACCACATTGTAAAGGACTAGCTTTTTTTGCTAGACCAAATTCCTTAATCTATTATGTGACTTGGGATTTAATTAAGGGCTTTAAGAAAGCAGTCTATTTTGTCCCCAAAAGGGGGAATATATACATATATAGGTTTTGTAGGGTAAGTCATTCCCAGGTGCTTTTATTAATATTTTTTAGCTAATTAAAAATCTTTCGAGAGAAGTACTCTTTTGATAATAAAATTTCAAGTTGGTTGTCTTACACTAAGAAGAGCAAATGCCTAAGGTGAATTTTGTTTGCGCATGTGTGCGAAAGAAAGAGATTAAAAATAGAAAAATAATTATGTGCAGGGGTTATAAGCCTTTTTTCAAATTCCAACCTCTTAAGTTGAAAGTAATTTCGGAAAAAAAAATTATCGATTCAGGATAAGTTTAATGCTTTAAGTGTCATTCCCAGGCATGTGAGAATTAGGGAGTATATTCAAAGGCCTTCGTTTATGGGAGTCAGGTGATGGAGGCCTCCTATTTTGACGATCGTCAATCAGTGTATTAGGGTTCCAGGAGGAAGAAGGCTTCAATTTAATTAATTGCCTGGAAACACCTTATTGGAAGCTGTTACCTTCTGCGCCTTTTGGATATGATTATCTTAACATCTCATCATCATCACATAGGGCGTCCCTAGACGAAAATAAAGTTGTGATATTTGGATCTTAAGTTTGCTGATAAATGCTTACTGGCGTAATATTGGGCGTGAAAAGTTGTCAACAGAGAAAAGTCATCACCTAAAAGGGCTCGAACTGGACCTTCTAGAGAGAAGAGGCCCCTCAACAAATTAAAGATATTTCTTTTGACCAACAAAGGTGTTCGAAGTTTGTGAGAAGACGTAGATTTTGTAATATGTTCACGTGAAGGAAATCCATTGCTTGGGCTGAAACCAACATTATATTATATTCCTCCACGGAACTCCCATACTGCAAGTCATGAGACCTCTTCAGATTCAGTTAATTATGGCTGCCCCATCGACCAATTTCACAACAGTCCATTCAATTCCAAAATATATTCGCCAAATACGAAGATCACGCTTTCTTGTATCCCACCATTTCACATAGATTTAAAAACAAGCAAACAAAGAAAACAGTTATAGGTGTTTTTTTTTTTTAAATTTACTTCGCTTGTTATATCCCTCAATTAAACTTCAACTCGTAACTTGTGACAAATGATATTATGGAGAAGTCTGTAGTTGTTCTAAAGTCTTCACGTTCATGTTTCTGTTTTTTTTTTATGACAATAATTGCTCAACTACCATTTTAAGGATCAAACTCATTCTACGAACGTTGAGAACCCCACTCCCCCCCCCCCCCAAAAAAAAGAAAAAGAAAAGAAAAGAGAGAACCCAAGCCCCCCCCCCCCAAGAAAAGAAACAGAGTATTCGAGAAAGTTCAGCGCAAGCTGCAACTTAAGAAACTAGCGTCAAGACAAGTCACCGTTTTTTGCTCCAGTTTTTAAAGATTTTAAGAGGAGTTTCTCCAGATTTCCTAGAGAGGCGTACTCCATTTTGAAGTATTTGGGAAGGAAAATATGCTGAGAGAACTCTATTTTTCCGTGGAATAGAGACTGAGTTTTAAAAGAAAATCTGCATATTAATTCATTTAATTTTTCGCTTCTATATATTTGCATGTTGTTTCTCTCATTAACCACTTAATTTTTGATTTATATATTATTGGCATTGCATGTTTAACGAGATGATGAATTAAATTAGGTGATTTCGGAATAACTTGTTTACTCACTCCATATTTCTTATCTATTTATGTGGGAGGAGATCATTAGCTGATTTGGAAAACATTATTGTTACAGTGAAACTAGAAAACGGATTTTTGAACTAGATCATGGTCTGAGTTCAAAACTATTGATGATAGGTGGATTGATTTGCTTTTGGGATACATAAATATGGACGAATGATCAAAAGCGCTCGATTGTTTTTTGACACATACAGATTCATAAACTTCAGTTTTATTAAACACAGATGCAAGTCTACAAACTTCAGTAACCAGAAGCACGACACTATGGATGGAGTGGCCTCGCCATTTGCAAGAGCAAGGCGCAGACACACAAGCACACATTACAAGTAGGATAGTTAATTATTAGTGTGCCAATGAAATTTCAAATTTGGAAAGGAATGAAAGAAATTCAGGTGCTTTTTTGACACATTCCTCCAATAACCATCCATAGCTAGCCATCCTCATCAGTTCAACCGCAACAATCTGTATATGCCGTATTTAATTTCAATACATTAGTTATTAATCTTATAAATGTAATTGAGAGGGA